CGCCACGCTCGCGGGGAGCGAGGAAACGTCCTTGGCCGTCCCTCCCCGGGGAGGGCTCCCGAAACCGGCCGCACCTCCCCGTCTGTCCAGCTGGAAAAAGATGCAGAGCAAAGGGGAGCTCACAAACGAAGGAAACCATCGGCCCCGCGCGAGGGACGCGCGCCGGCCGGCAGGGAAGGGGCTCCTTGGCTTTGTTTGCCGACGGGAACTGCCCCTCCCAGGGCGGCACACAGGACGCTGCGACCGCTTAACTCTTTGTGCAAAGCTCCTCTCCTTACGCACGGGATGAACCCAGCCCTGGTAAAAACTCTTTTGCTTACACGGCGCCGTCCTGCTCCGCAAGCAGAGCCCCGGCCCTCGGCAGCGCTCCCGGTCCCGTGCCCTCCCCTCGCGCGGCTCGCTCCTGCAGCCCTGCACCTGCGTTACCGCCGCAGCTCTGGCTCTGCTGGCTCCTGCCTCCAGGCAGACTCGTAGGGAGCCTAGAAACGGTCCTCGCGCCTCCTCCGAAACCCAGGGACCTCCGCGTTTCTCTGTCCCAACGCAGGCTTTGATACAGATACCTAAGCTACTTATTGCAACTCTTCCTTCCCTGAAGACTGCGACCGTGCGCACAGCCTGACCCGCAACACACAACCATCCTCAAAGGAGGACTAGCGAACAACTCTCCGAAACCCCTTTGCAAAATCTGTCTTCGCCCATTTCCCAGCACAGGGGCTCCACCTGCTCCCATCTCCTCCCTCATTTATTCTTCAACATCTCCATTTTCAAAAAGGCGACCTGGCAGCTCCCACCCTCCGCCCCTAATGTTCACACCCTCCCAGGGCCGAGGAGACCAACCTCAGCTGTAAATCCACCTTATTTCTGCAGTGCAACAGCCTCCCCCAGGACGGCAGGACTCACGGCAAGTCTCTCCCATTTTGTCTGCCCCCCGGCTGCCTGCCCGGCACCCCTGGCTGTCTGGCAGCCGACTCCTCTGGCAAAGCACCACGTCAGCGCGGTGACTTCGCACAGAGCCAAGGGCGTCTCTCTCCTTTCCCTCCCACCTTCCCAGCTTGGGGCGATGGTGCACCCTTGACAAGCGGTGCTTCGTGAAGCAGATAAATCACAGCCTCCCCAGTTTCCCTCTGCGGGTGCGTCTGAGCCCCCCCGGTCTGTCCGTGGGCCGGCTCGCAGGCAGCTGCTGAATTTAGCAAATACAGACCAATCCCAGGCCTCTCTCCTGGGTCCCATTTGTCAGGATTGAATTTGCTCACGTGGAAGAGTAACGGCAAAAAAAAAAACAAATAAAAAAAAAATTTCAAGCTAAAGAACATCAGATGGAGAAGAAAATTCATTCTCTGTCGGTAGCAGCTGCGTTGTTTGTTTGTCACAACTGGTTTGTTATGGGCCATTGATAAAAAGAAAAAAAAAAAAAAACCAACAGTGCTATATTCCTCCTGGGTATTTTGGCTACATAACAGGACGTTTGTTTTAGAAAGGAAATACAATATTGCATCGAGCTTTATGTTACTTTAAAACAATACCCATCATTTTAAATGCATCACTAGCTATGACGGGTTCTGGAATAAATCAGATAATGATGCCATTTTCCTGGCTACGTTTGCACCAGCACAGGCTGGCTGCCGGCTCCGGCTGCC